CGGCGGGATGCAGGTGACACTTGCGGGATGCAGGTGACACTGGCGGGATGCAGGTGACACCGCCGAGTTAATTTTCCCGCTGCTGTTTGCTGAAATGGATCCTTCAGTCCCTCCTGGAGAGGTGGGGACACGAATTTTGCCCCCCAAGAGGCACAGAGGGTGGTCCTGGGTTGGTTTTGGGGGGCAAAAATCACTCCTGGAGAGGTGAGGACACCAATTTTGGCCCCCAACAGGCACAAGGGGTGTTCCTGGGGTGTTTGGTGGTGCTGGGGTGTTTTTGGGGTGCACAACCCACCCTCCTCGTGCTGACACAGCCAAGATGGGGGTGCAGGTGACACTGCCGAGTTCATTTTCCTGCTGCTTTTTGCTGAAATGGATCCTTCAATCCGTCCTGGAGAGGTGGGGACACCGCTTTTGCCCCCAAGAGGCATAAGGGGGTGGTCCTGGGTTGGTTTTGGGGGGCAAAAATCACTCCTGGAGAGGTGGGGACACCACTTTTGGCCCCAACAGGCACAGAGGGGTGGCTCCGAGGTGTTTTTGGGGGGCAAAAATCCCTTCTGGAGAGGTGGGGACACCACTTTTGGCCCCAACAGACACGGGGATGACCTCGGGGTGTTTTTGGGATGCACAACCCACCCTCCCCGTGCAGACACAGCCAAGCTGGGGGTGCAGAGCCCATGGGGTTTTATTCACCATGGGGAGGATCCCCCTCCCCGTCGCTGTCAGGAAAAGGGACAAACCCCAATCCCAGGTGTCCAAACCCACCCGTGTGGGTGCCCCGCGTGTCCCTGGCAGCAGCAGCCGTGCCCTGGGGGCTGTGGCTCCATCCCGACGTGGGTGCCCCCGGTGTCCCCTCTCTCAGCAGGGGCTGCAGGGCGAGGGACCCTCCCCACGGCGGGCCAGCGCGGTGCCCGTGGGTGTGGGCGGTGTGACGATGATGGAGGGCACGTGGAGGTGCTTCTGTGCTGCCCTCGGGGTCCCCTCGCTGCCGTTGCCGCTGCTCACACACATCTTCAGGCCTGGGGAGGGAGGAACATTTTGGGGATAAAACAAGGAGATCAGGCATCAGCATCCCCCAGCTCGCCGCCCTCCTCCGTGCCAACCCTTTACAGCATCCTCACATCTCCTCCCCATGATCCACCTTGGATTTTGGGGGGTTTCAGAGGTGGATCCCCCTCCCTTCCCTGGACCACCTGCCCAGCCCACCCCTCCTTAGAGGGGAGCAGATCGCTTTAATCTGCTTTTTTTTTTAATCAGGAGAAAAGCCCCGTGTGGCACAGGCGGCATCCAGGGAGGTTTCAGCTCTTCCCAAGCAAGGAAATGCCCGGAGGGGACAGACACTGATATTTTTAATCTCTTTTTAATTAAGGATAAAGCCCTGCCTTATGTAAGGGAGCTGGAAAAGGGGGAGGGTCTTTTCTTTTATTCCAGGCTCCAAGCTCAGCAGAGGAGTCTGGAAGCACGGGGGGATATTTTGGGGCTTTGTTCTGGATTTGGGTCAGGATTGGGATTCCCTGGCTGCTTCAGTTATCCCTTGTTGGACAGGGGGTGTTGTGAGACCCCAAACACCCCTGACCACTCCCTGCCAACATCCCTGATGTGGAGAGGGGGCAGAGCTCATTTTTGTGTGATGCTCTGTGCCCACCACAAGCAGAATCCCACGGAATCTGGGCCTGGGAACAGCCAGGGAAGAGGCAGCCCTGCATCCTGGAGAAGGATCCTCATTAAGCCCCATCCCTAACGAGCCCAAGGGCGATTAGCAGGAGTCAGAGGGATGCAGAGCTAATGGGAGATGCCATATCCATCCCAGGCCAGCAGCACTAAAAGCTCTGCCCCTGTGCAGACATCCCTGACGCCATTCCCAGCCTGAATCCATTAAGAAAATTCAACTTGGGGAAGAAGCTCCTGGTTGGAGTGTCCCTGGGGAGAGAGGAGCAGCGAGGGATGCTCGGGGCCAGCATCCTCCATCCCACCCACGTGTCCCTGAGCAGCCTTTCCTGCCTCTGAGGAAAACCCACCTGATTTACTGAACCCATGCGTTCTCCAGAGCAAAAGGTGCAGGGCAAGCACCTCAGGGAATGAGAAAACAAAGCTGGGAAAACAAAGCTGGGAAAACAAAGCTGGGAAAGTCCTCTTTGGGGTGATCCACGCACAACAGGTGGGACTTGAGAAATTCCGCCGCATTCCCAAACTCCACCCAACCCGCCCACACCTGAGCCTCCTGTGGGTACAACCATCCCTTCAGGGAGCAGCAGCAACACCCCAAACCCTCGCCCCAAGCTCACCTTTCAGGCAGGATAACCTGAGCCCCATGTTCTCATCCTCTCAGCGGCATCCAGCCCTCCAGCCCCGCCGCCGGCCCTCGCTGCAGGCGCTGGGGGAGAGAGGGGAGAGAGGCTCAGGGAGGCGATGCTGGGGCAGGAAGGAGCAGGAGCTCGGAGCTCACATCCCTCCCTGCGTGTCTGTGCCTTCGGGAGCCACAGGAAACGCGGCTGCTCGCTCGCAAAACCACCGCTGATGTCACGGCACCGCGGTGACTCAACCCGGCCCAACGGGGCCCAGGAAGAACTTTTTGGGAGGGTGGAGAAGGAGCATGGTGCTGGATGAGTTGTCCCATCCCAGGTTCCCCACTCCTGAAAGCATTTCAGGATGAGAAGGTTGGGAGCAGGAGGAATCGGGCTGGTTTTAGGTTGGTTCTTGCAGAGAAAACCCCACAATTTCTGTTTTCACCATGTGGTCCCATCCCAGCTTCTCCACCCCTGAAAATATTTCGGGATGAGAAAGTTTGGAGCAGGAGGAACTGGGTTGGTTCTAGGTTGGTTCTTGCAGAGAAAACCCCTCAATTTCTGTTTCCCCCTCTGTGGTCCCATCCCAGCTTCTCCACTCCTGAAAATATTTCAGGATGAGGAATCGGGCTGGTTTTAGGTTGGTTCTTGCAGAGAAAACCCCACAATTTCTGTTTCCCCCTGTGTGGTCCCATCCCAGCTTCTCCACCCCTGAAAACATTTCAGGATGAGAAAGTTTGGGAGCAGGAGGAATTGGGCTGGTTCTAGGTTGGTTCTTGCAGAGAAAACCCCACAATTTCTCTGTTTCCCCTGTTTGATCCCAGAGCTGCCTCCCTCGGGCTGAGCAGGAGCAGCTGCTGGGATGCACTGCTGGAATCCACATCATCCACTGCTCCTCTCGGGCATCCCTGATATCCCCAGAGCTTTTGGATGGGGAATTCCCACTGTAGGATGCCATTCTTTCAAAATGCTGAAAAATTTTCTGCAAAAAAAAAATTCCCTTTATTGGGAAATCTTCACCCCTCCTCCCACAGCTGCTGGGAAAAGCTCATTGGGATGAGGGTCAGTGACTCATTTTGGCTCTTCCAAGCTCTGGGCTACACAGAGAGCCAAGGAAAGCCTCTCTCCCCCAGCCTGACCTCTGCCTTTCCAAGAAGCTCTGAAATGGGTTGGCAGCAGCCCCCAAGGGGAAGTGAAAATTCGCTGTCTCTGCTTTTAATTCTGTATTTTTATCAGTTCCCCAGGTGCAGCCTGAGCTGTGACCCACCCCCATAGGGCTGGGGAGTGGAGTCCTGCCCAGGATCTCACTTTGCAGCTCTCCTGGAGGCTGCCCAAATATCAACAAATCTGTTTTGAGGCAAATCCTGTGGGGTTTGGCACCTGCTGGTGGCTCTGGGACAGAGGAGGGTCGTGCTGGGGACACCCAGCTCTGTGCACACGGGGTCTCCATCCTCTGGGATCTGATTCCCTGGGATTTCATCCTCTGGAATCTCATCCTCTGGGATGGGGACACCTAGATCTGTGCACAGGGGGTCTCCATCCCCTGGGATCTGATCCTCTTGGATCTGATCCTCTGGAATGTCATCCTCTGGAATCTGATTCTCTGCGATAGGGACACTCAGCTCCCTGCACAGGGGGTCTCCATCCTCTGGAATCTCACCCTCTGGGATGGGGACACCCAGCTCTGTGCACAGGGGGTCTCCATCCTCTGGGATCTGATTCCCTGGGATTTCATCCTCTGGAATCTCATCCTCTGGGATGGGGACACCTAAATCTGTGCACAGGGGGTCTCCATCCTCTGGGATCTGATCCTCTTGGATCTGATCCTCTGGAATCTCATCCTCTGGAATCTGATTCTCTGCGATGGGGACACTCAGCTCCCTGCACAGGGGGTCTCCATCCTCTGGGATCTCACCCTCTGCGATGGGGACACCCAGCTCCCTGCACAGGGGGTCTCCATCCTCTGGGATCTGTTCCTCTGGGATCTGATCCTCTGGGACCACCCCCTGTGGCCAAACCCTTGCAGAGCACACAGCAGCCCCCTCCCCATGGATAAGGGCCAGATTCCAGCTCCAGAATTGGGGTGGAGGATTCCCCCTGCCACCATTCCAGCAGGATTCCTCCAGCTCGGCTCCCGTGTGCCAGCACCAGGCCAGAGGAACGTTTGCATCCCGGCGAGTTCACGCTCCAAAAAGCCCCAGA